ATGTAGTACTTAAAAAATATCAATACCAATGCTGTGATGAGTCTATTAACAATAACGACTTACATTGGTAATATCTAACCACAGTACTTTTTTTTTCATTTTATCACAGCACAGACCTGCAGATTACAAACATCAAATATAATAAAGTTAACTTTGACTACTCAGTAGCACTTTTTCATGATGTTCTTCAGGTTTTTCTTTTATACAGTATTGTTATCTACAACAACAAAATAATATGCCAGGCAAAGGCAAATCATCTCCTACAGCTCTGGTTCTTCCATGTTGGRAGAATTGGATGAACTGARGCCCCAATAGCATCTAAAGGTGATRAAAACCTACCCCACCCCCTCGCAGTGGTAGGCTTTATCATCCAGATTAATAAATACAACTTTTATTTATCTCTGTCTTGTGCAAACTCATCTCTAATTTTCAGAATTTCAGAAATTGTGTTGCTTTGCCATGTTAGCTTTAGCTAGGTGAGCTTGTACTCAGCCCATTGTTTGGATTTTGAATCATTAAATTGTAKGTACTGAATGTAGTTCTATTGATGCCACCTTGAAAAAGGCCCTAACTGCAAATGTTGCAAGCAGCTAGCTGCCCTCACCTTGTACTTTAAAATACTTTCAAACTACAGGCATGTTGACTTGTTACGAAGGTTTCCATAATGAGGCATTGCTGATGTAAAACCACAGCTAGTGACAACAAAAACAGCAGGAAGCTACAGGGAGTGAGCTGTGGCAGCTGTTTCAATACTGATCAATAAAAAATGTTTTAATTGATACATTCAATACTTGCAATCAGCATAGGACAAATGTATATTTAAAAAAATAATGAACCTAAAACAGAACCTTGTGGTACGCCCATTTTGCACTACATATAACATATAATCTCAAACAACTATTAAAGTAAGTTTCTTTACAGTTGACACTTTGGCATGTCAGTTTTTCATTAATACAACTCTGGAAAGTTTATGTTTATCATTTACCAAGCCATACGTCAAAAGGTGACTGCATTGTCTGAAATCGATTTGCTGTTTTGCGAGTGTCCACGCACACCTGAGCACTTTAGTGCTGCAGATGTTTGCATATATGTGCTCATATGAGTGTGTGTAGGTGCTTATGAAAAGCTCTCCATACACTGTGTTCTCTATCAGATTGGTGAGGCGTGATATTACACTCTAAGCTGATATACATATTCATCCATTCCCACTCACACATAAACACACAGGCGGGCGCTGAAAGTCACTTGCCCTCGAAGGTCCTATTAAAGCGACACTGTGACACCATCTGGCATAAATATCCATATATTTAAAAAAAAAGAGAGAGTTGTACATTTATTTTTTTCTGCACGTTGTTTTAGCTTGAACGGTATCAGGTAAATGTCTGGTTTGAAATGTAATAGGAAATAAGGTCATTTTTAAAACTATTTGATGTCTTGAAAAAAATGTGTAAACATGTGAAATGTTTTGGTTTGATKTTTGAGTAGTTGTCTGAACTCACAAAACTGTTCCAGTCTAATTAAATGGTAAAATGTATAAATGAAGTTGTTTAGAACTATTTTTCTTATTGAACTGTCTAAAAAGGATGGCTCAAATATATTGTAGCACAGCAGGGTTTGGTGGAAAACTTATGAACAATTAATATCTTACCTGTTGAAGATAGCTCTTAAAATGACCTCATTTTGGAGAAATTGATCTTCTTTGCGACCAGAATGACTAACTAATGACTAGTTTGAGAAAATCCTCAAGAAAACAGCTATCATTATTTCCCATTTCTAAAACAATAATTCAAAACTCACATGGATATAAAGATAATGTTTGCATTAATGGCTTCAGAGTGGAGTTGAATTTAGTATTTCGAGTCGATTTAATATAAATGGTTGAATTAGTTCTCCTGTTTTAACATACTGAATATTTAATCATCAGAGATGTTTTAATGCGGATTTGAGTAAAATCACAAGTTGCTTTTTAGACACCACAACAGGCCTAAAACAGAGATGACCGATTATGGCACAAAGCTTTAGGTTTTAGTGTCTCTGTGATTTATAAATTATTTAAGGTGAGATATACTATATGAACTATTTAATAAGGCTGGCAGGTCAGGTGTCACGGGAAACAGGAATTAACATATTTAAAAACTTCGGGGCAATAAATAAAAGATTTGCTCTGCATGGTGTGTTCATCTTTTTTAGTCGTTTTGTTTCMTCCAATCACGTGTGCGTAAAAAGTCAGTCAATAAGGACATAAATATTTTGTGCTGTAACAACGTCATTTAGATGTTTATATTTTCGAGGAAAGAAAATTAGAACATTTAGATGTCTATAACTCAGTCGGTTTTACAGGTATTGAGCTAACTTTTTGTGTGGTAGTAGCTGAGAATCATCCCTAACATAAACTCTGAGCACAAATCACACTAAGTCTTTGTTTTAAACTTTAACAGGACATGTATCAAGCAAAATGCAAATCTTTCAAGAAATACTACTTTAACTTTTAATTAAGCCTAACTGCAACCTGATTGCAGTGTTGGTTAATGCAATTAACATTTACATTATTTCCATGTTATATTAAAAGAAATTATTACAGATACAACTGCACAACTGAGTCACCAAACAACGAGTGTTGTGGTGCAGCTCATTAAGGGAAAACCATTATTAAACTTTGCATTAAAAAGAATAGTCACTTGAACTTGTGCACCAGATTAGTGCTTAAATGTTTGTTTAAGATGTTATGATTCATAATAACTACAATTTAGTTTGAGGCTTTTTGTTGGCAAATTGTAGTGTTGGTCAGTGAAARCTCACTTTCATAAAAATACCAATGAATGAAAGTGGAAAAAAAAACTTTTAAGCAGCACACGCTCATGAAAATGTGTAGAAATCGTTAAAGTCCCATTACACCAGTAAAGAAAGTCCCAGTAAGTCTTTTTGAACTACTTATGTTCTTCTCCTCCACACAGCTCCTCTTTCATCAACCTCCCCAACTGTTGCAGCTGATCTATACCCATTTACACCGTCCTTTAGGGCGTGAAGTAAATCTAAACCTGTTTGGTTTTCATATATTTGTGCATCACGCACACAATGACAGTAGCTATAATTACGAGAAAGCAGTTTTCAGGTTCACTGAATATTAGAATTAGTATCATTAGAGGGCCAAGGCAGCACATCAAAAATCAATACCTTTAGCAGCAATAGGAGAAAATCAATCACCTTTTAATAGAATACCATTTGTCTTTTGYGTTAAAGTCCTGGCAGATGGTCGCCTTTAAGTGTAAAGGATTTTTAGTGGCTGAAGTTGAACTTTTATAGAGTCACTAGAATTCAGCAGGGAAATTGGATTAAAGTTTTGCAAAGTTTATTTCAGAGTTGTTTTTTTTTTCAGAACAGGCAAACTCTGACCAGAAATGTTCCCATCTGGGATTCAACCTTTCAACCTTCTTGCATCTATGTTACTGCAGGTATTACATTGACGTATCATGTCTAATCTTCATAACTCTAAACTTGAATTAAAAAAATTAAAAAGAACTTAAAATAACTTAACTCAATTTTGAATTTGCTGTATTTGCTCTTAAGCCCTACACCTCTGGTACTGGGGGCAGAATTTATTTATTTTTTCTACTTTTCTACACTTGGGTTTTTGGTTTCCATGAGTTTTATTCATTATATTTTATATTGTATGATGCAACTAATTACATTTGGGCATGTTATTTCAAGCACAAACGTCAAGGAAAGCCCTTTGGGCCGAAGAGGTTAAAAAGACTGTTTTTTTAAATTGTGATTAAACTTTGCTCATTTTGTTTCAATGAAAAAAAACTTTTTGAAAATGTTGAATTGTCATTAAATTAAACCTTAGAGTAATTACCTAGTTTATTGTTTAAAATTCTGGTTTCATCCTGTTAAATAATGACATGGATATAAGATGTTTTTCCTTAATAAGAAGATGAGAATGGTCAAATACATTAAACACATTTACTGCAGTAATTTCAGCTTCCTTCTTCATACTGTGGGCCTATGGGTAAAAAAAAAAACACATATTCACATAAAACTGAGATTTTGATCTCTGCAGAGCTTCCTGAGGGTAAAAGAAAAAGAGAAAGCTTTGCAAACAATTACCTTTTTTTAAACCCACAGGCAAACAGTGGTAATGAATTTTTTATAAAACTGAAATTAACTATTTACTTAATAATGAAAACAGAGACCAAAGCAGTTGTTTAAAAACAAAAACAGCTTTTTCCCTATTTTGGTTAATGAGCATATTCAAACTTTTATTTATTTACAGTATTTATTTATTTATTTATTTATTTATTTATTTATTTATTTATATTTTAGCAAAAAAATTTATACTAGAGATTGCATATTTTAAAATGTAGCAATATTTACTATTCAAATACAAAGCCATACACTCAAAAAACAGATTGTTGGATTTACTTAACCAAGCTATTTCAACAAGTGAGTAGAGTAAATGTAAAGCAGCTTTCACATTTACTTTAAAAAGTGAAAGTTATTTACACTTAAACATATGAAGAGTTATCACCCTTTCTGTTTTCTTCACACCAACTCGCTTTATTCTGGTTACATTCAACTCATTACATTCTATCAGCATCTGTCTCGTCAGCATTATCTGAAGACAAGAACAGATTATTGAAAGCTAAGATAAAATTTGTCTCTCAGAACAAAGTTCAGTTACGTAGGAGACAATGACCAGCGGTGGTAAAGGGGTCATGTCAGGGGTCACAGTCGTTCATGTTACAGCTGCATTAATGTGTTACTGAATGGATATCTAAATACCTTTTAAATATAAGACTGATCAGATTGAACAATACTGTATGTTTGAAAATGAAATGCTTAATCACGCATAAAAAAAAATCAAAAATAAGAAAATAAATTGCAAATGCGTATATTATAAATATTTAGGTTCTTAGCAAAAGTTTAAAGATGTAAAATCTCCAGACTTGACTTTTTAGTAGTTTTTATTCAGGAAGTGAAACAAAATGCCCAGTGTTTTCATTGTGCTTTACATCATTTCAGTCCAGCCTGGAGGTCCAGAAAAACCTCAGAGGAAGAACTCAAAACAGGAAGCTCCAGACRAAAAAAAAATTTAAAAATCATCATCATCGTCATCATCTTCACACTGTACAGATCTGTAGAAAGAATCCAAGTCCAAAGTCACATCAGTTCTTTATGTACAAGGCCTTTTGCCACAAAATAGTCGCATTCTCATTTACTCTAAAAAAAACATGTTTTTTATGTTTTTGCAGACATTTAAAAAATGGCACGGCATACTTTATACTGGAAGTGTATTTTTATTTTTGTGTCATTTAAACACAATGTGTAGCATCAGCATTGTTGGAGTTTTTACTGTGTTTTTTTTTAATAGAAAAGTTAGAAAGAGGTTATTTCTACATACAAGGCATTTTCTACCTGAATCTAAACTTTTTTGTTGTGCTACTAGTTTGTGGAAAAAAAGTAAAAGTTGTAGGATATAATTCATAACAAGAAGTGCTTTTATATAAGAATAGTTATACTAGCTTGTGGCTATAGTAGGCTACATAATTCGTAGTAGAAACTAAGTGTTCAGTGATGCTCTCTGGTGCTGAAATATTGACCAAATATTTTATTTCTCAGTCTTTATAATTACACAGGGAGTCACTTTAACAAACCCGCAATAGCCAGAGACGATTAAAGAGAAAACTACAGGATGTTGTGATGGGGGTTTAATGAGTCCTTATGTAAGGTTTGTAAATGTCTTAAATAAAAGCATAAGAGCAAACATGAGCTTTAGACTGGATTTAAAAAGGTTAAAAAAAATCTAATTTCTTACAAACCATGGTGGGGATGGAGTCACGATCTGCTCAAAAACTCTCCAAGGGTCAAAGAGACCATTCAGCACTGCAACTCCTGTAAAGCTATTTTTTCTATGTATGCCAATGAGAATTGCTGTGGCAAAAAATTTACAAAACAGTTTAAAGTGAGAGTTCAAATCTCTTAAAGTGTAGTTTATGAACAATTAGTATCTTCCCTGTTGTAGATAGCTCCTTAAAAAGCATTTTTTTTAGAAATAGAGGTGTTTTTTTCAGACTTGCCTCATCGGGTAAAGGGGATTACTGCCAATTTAAAACAGCCAAAGTCTGAAGAATGTCGTATTAGTTCATGTCTATAAACCTGGTTCCGCAGGTTCCTCAGGTGATCGGGTGCTGATTAGAGTGTCTGATGGAGTTTATTTAAGATTGACCTTCACCTTCCCACCTTCTTTTCTAGGTTACATTCTGAGTTTTCTATGCATGCTTCCTCTTTGGGCCAGACCATAACGAATGGGGGCTCGTCCGGGATTTAAACTCTGACGCTCCTGCACCCAAATGAGAATCATACTCCTGAATCCACACAGTTATTTTGGTAAAGAATTACATTTCAGGCAAAACTGGTAGTCCTACAACTAGCTGTTGTTGCTACTTGCATTTGCAAACAACCATGGGCTCCATTACTGGTGGTTCAGAGGGGGCAGGACCTCCTCTATAGATTTGGTGCCAAACTTTGCTAAGCAAGGTGACAGATAATATGCCTTTTTAAAGAAATGCTAGTTTTATTTATGAATTTGACTTCAACATGGGTGAGGCAGACCTGACTGCTTTACTCAGTTGGTAATATAAACTGATGAATAATTTAAAAAACAATGTAAACATTTTAGAAGACAATTTTATGATTCCAGCATCAGAGTATTTATCAAATAGTTTAAAATAAAATCCTCAACATTTTTATTCTTTTATTTTAAAATTTCACTCTGAAGTTGTTTTGAAGTGGTAACAACCTATTTTGGTGTAAAAACAAACAATAATCCAATCAGAATTTCTCTACAACAGGTCAGATCAGAACTATCCTTTTATCTTTTCACATTCTGGGTTTGTGTTTTTGTCCGTTCCGTTTTCAGCACCAGAGATCTACCTTCTACTTTCTACAATATTTTAGAGTAATAATACGAGGCAGGCAGTGCATAAACCATGTACAAATTGACTCGACCCAACCAAGAGCGAGCTCTCCGTCTAAATGAGCTGAGTTCTTTGTGTGAATCCCAGAAGCACCAGCTGTTCCTAGTACAGATGTAGTTGTCATCAATGAGCTAATGATGCCACGATATAATTGTAACTAGCAGGCTTCTTCTTCTTYTTTTTCTTTTTAGATATTTTTTACATAAAAAGCAGCAGAGATTGAAAATCAGAAAACTGACCCTGCAGTCTTTGCTTTGATCTTTCTACTAATGTTTAGTCCACAAAAGTCCCAGAAAAAAGCCCCGAAGGAATGACAGCGATGCCAAAGTTCCTGTAAATCTGGAGCTCTAAACCCATCGCTCATTAATCAAGACAAACTTTGTTCACTAACTCCCTGAAATTGGATATCTTGCAACTATAGTTAGAAAATATTTAAGATATTTTGAGCAGATTTGACTTTTTCTTTGAACTTGTCATGCATTATTGCTCTAACAGGTGTTAATGAAATATTGCCCAAGACACAAACTTTGCCTCATTTTGCCAGTCTCCTAAAACATTTGGCAAATTATCCCTAAGTTGGCATAAATTCCCTCTTTTTTTGCATGCAAAGATTCGTGTAAATAAAGTGGCAGACAAACACAAAAAAGGTACTTGGTATTTAGAAAGTGTCAAATGCTTTGGCATATTCTTAACAAAGGCAAAAAATTGTAATAAAGTGCAAAATAATACAAAATTATACAGATGAATAAATTAKTAAATAAGGCAATAAATAGACACAATTTTCAAAAAAAAAATCAAAGCTAAAAACTGAGTTGTTTGATCACATCTTTTTTGCAAAAGTGGTTCTCATTTAAATTCCTTTTGAAACATGGCAGACAAATAAAAGACAAGCATTAAACTGAAGCCATAAGAAAATATTATTAAGGAGTGACCAGTTGATCCTGAAATGGAAGCTCAGTTTGTCTCCTTGATTCTATTTTAATATCGTTTGATGTCACAAGAAGCCCAAATTTAAGAAATACAAAGTTAACCCGTAAGTGTCACATATTAATACTACGTTTATGGCAACATTGTAGCCTACTTCTTTTTTTGCACAGTTSATCATGATAATTTTGCTCCCCATGTGTGAATACTGTAAGTATATGGTGGTGTAAGAAAAATCTTTAGATTGCATGTCTATGTTGTGCTTTTTGAAATTCTTTTCTGTCATTTTTGTTAAAGTTCAGCTGTGGTTCAGCTTTACCAAAAACAAAAACACCAAACGTTTGCTTCTAATGAAGCYGAAAATAAAAGTGTTTTCTGAATCTCTTTGCTCGGTGTGTTTGACTCTCAAGCTGCTGTCACAGAAACACAGAGACATGAAAGAACAATTGTGCTTTTGTTTCATATCTTCACAGGTAGAATAAAAAAGAAAAAAAACAACAGATGAGGACTGATGTGGACAYAAATAGATTTTCAGAAAAGATGAGCTAGCTGTGCTTTATTTATCTTCACAGAACCCAACGAGGGCGAATCTWATCGAAGCAAGTGACAATCTAAATCAGGCAATAAAAACGTTTCAATCACCCTCCAGATGAAGGCATTGAGGAGTTTTATGATTCTAGTAGACTCCTTTTGTGTACCATTTTTGGGCACTTTTAGGGGCTAAAGCAGAAAAAAAATTGATGTAAATAAAAGAAAATGAATTCATCATTCGCTCAGTGAGCTCAGCGGGGAAAAAGCCCCCTTAAAGCACGCAGACTCGTAGTGCTTGTTCAGGTAACTCTTGAGTGCGAAGGTCTTGTTGCACCGTTTGCACTTGTAATGCTTAAAGGCCGAGTGCGTCTGCATGTGGGCGCGCAGGTTGGAGCGGTCGGCGAACGCTTTCCCGCAGTGCGCGCAGCCGAACGGCTTCTCGCCRGTGTGCGAGCGCATGTGGCCCTGCAGCAGCCACGGCCGGCTGAAGGCCTTGCCGCACACGTCGCACTTGTGCTTGAGGTCGTGGGTGAGCAGGTGCATGGCCATGGCCGGCATGGAGACGTAAACCTTCCCGCACGTGGGGCACTTCTTGGCCATCTTGCTGTCTATGCTGCGGTGGGTCTGCTTGTGCCGGCTCAGGTTGGAGGACGTGGCGTAGGTCTTGCCGCACTCGCTGCAGGTGTGCCTCTGAGTGACTCCTCCTCCTCCTCCTCTCGGAGTCCCCGTTGCTTTTCGTCGCGACCGTCCGTCCATGATGAAGAAGGCATCCACTGTGTATCCTTCACTCACGGCTGTATCCCCGTTAATGTATCCGCCCGCTGACGACGAGACCTCGGACCTCGGGCTGTCTGGCTGGTCCGAATCGCCATGGATGTCACCGTGAATACCAGAATAGGTGTTGTTAATGTGGCCATAAATAATGGAGGAGTGGCTCGGGGAGGGCACTTTAGAGATGACCGATGAATCACTTCCCACGACATCATCGTAAGGATTTGGACTCAGATAATCACTGACGTAGTCTGAGGAAACAAAAGAAGACATAGGTGTTTGATCAGAAATTAAAACATTTTTGTCTTAAAGGGATCCATGATTAGTTGTAACATTAGACTTTATTTTAACTGTAAAATAAAGACTTTAAAAATACTGCAGGATGTTCAGTTTTTATCATTTTAAACTAAAAGTTTAAAAATAAATTACACGGACGGGGCCATTTTATTTACTCGCAAAGCATTCTGGGTAAATGATGACGTGGATAGGTCCTCTGTGTGAGGCTGCTAGCGAGCTATATCCACCCTGAAGGTTAATCTTGGACAATGTCTGATGATCGACTC